CCACGCGCGCCTCCTCCGGGCCGCGCCGCTCGGAGCCCGGCGCCCACCCGCGGGGATCGGAAAGTAGGAGCAGCTGGGGAAATCCGGCCAGGCGGTGACAAAACAGAAATGTAGCCCGGCAGCCCTTTTACCTTTCCTCCGATGTTCACTTGCTAGCACTCTTAGTACCAAGGAATACGTGCCCCTAGGTCATCTAAAAAGAGAAATTTCAAGGGTTGTTCAACACCCCCACCCCCGCAGACTTCTAATCCACGCGCGATTCGAGGTCAGATTAGCTCATCCATCGCACACCCGGGAGGAGCCTTTGTTTTTATTTTTAACATTGTCATTCAGGTTTTAATTCTGCGGTGATTCCCCATAAATAGAACATACTCATGACTTCTCTATAATTCTAATTAAATTATTCAAGGCTTTAAGAGGAAAGATATGCCATGTTAATCCTTTTTTTAAAAAAGGAAACTGCCGAAGAACTTCTGTAGTTGCTTAATTGGTTGGCTTTTTTTTTTCCCCTTCCAAAGTGTGTTATTCTGCACCAAAGTTTGACTCTAGTTGCTATGAGGGGATCCGGTGAGCCTTCCCTGCCATCTGGGGAGGCGGGTGGCTGGGGGCAGGCGCAGTCAGCTGCCTCCAGTGTGAGCCTTCTGTCCTCTGCCCCCTGGGACAGTTCCCTGTGACTCCTGCCTGGGGAGCTTGTGCTCTTGTGAAGAAAAGTTCCTGTAAGTTTTCTCAAGTGGAAGGGAATTCTCCCTGCTAAAATGGGCCTGACTGGACCACAGGCTGAGCCCTCCCTCCGGGGAAGAGGAGAAAAGCTCAAGAAGGCAAAAGAGACTTCTCTCGGCTCTCAAAAAAAAAAAAAAAAATCTTTCATAAGTAATAGCTTGCCTTTGTTAATTAACTCACTGACCTTTACTTTAAAATGATGAAGTTTAATTAATTTAACTAACAGGAACCCAGTGAGTGCCTATGCTTGTATCTTTACTTTAGCCATGAAGGTAGATCAAGGTTATCTTCCTCAGTCCGACAGTGGTGTGTTTCCAGGGAAGGCTGCTGTTACCCAAGTGGGCTCGCTTTTACATGTGATGGGAGTTAATGTTCCTCACTCCTGTCCTGGCCTGATTCCATGCTCCATAGCAAGTCCGTGCCCATGATCTTCCCGTGTGCCCTCTGCGAGCCCTTGGGCGCTGGTGCCCTTGATGGTGCATGAGATTCGCTGCTCACCCGCACTGCACTGCCACCCCCAACACCCCCTGACCAGCAGCAGGGCATTTGCAACTGGCTTGAGAGGGCAGCAGGGAGGTGACTTCCTGTGAGTTTCCTTGCACTGTTACTGGCCAGGAGTCCTGCATTTATTCTCTGCTGATTCTCCAGAGCCTAAAATAAAAATTGCTTAGGTGGAGAGAAAAAGAAGATTGTAGATTCCAGCAGTAAATACTCAGGACTTGTTCAGGAGCTCCTGGTTCGAATGAGTGGCGACTTCAGGCAGATGGCAGTCCCCACCCTCACCTCCCTGGGGCTGTCCTGTGCGTGGGGGCAGGTGCTGAGGTTTGGGGAAGTTGACTGACTTGGCAGGGCAACAGGGCAAGAAAGAGGGAGTGCCGGAAATGGATCCCAGGGAGCTGGACTCCAGAACCCGGGTCCTGAGGCCCAGGCAGGCACCTGCCTTCTTCCCCCTCTTCCTGCCTGACTTTTCCTTGGTTTGGGCTTCGAACTACCCCAGACTCCCAGAGCCAGCCAGACACCCCGAGCCTTACAATCAGGGCTGCAGCTCCATCCCCTCATTCCTCCTTCTGTTAGGGAAAGGCCTGAGGAGCAGCAGGGGAACAGCCAGATCCAGGTAGGACGCTGGGGAAATGGCAGGTTCCATAGACGCCAGAACCCTGCAGGTCCTTTGCCTCCCATGGGGGAGCCAGGCTTTGGAATTGTTCTTGTCCCCAGTGCTTTCATCAAGAACTGGGGATGCATTGTTCTGCCCGCAGGCTCTGTGCAGAGTCGGGGGCGTCTGCCCACAAGCCCAAGTGAGAGCCGTGCACCAGCGGGCAGGTCCACGTTGGCATGGAGATGACAGCCCGGGCACACACAGATACCATTAGTGACTTCTTTCCAACAGGAGAAGCAGCCTCTGCTGGAACCATGCAATTTGGTCCTAGTAATAATAATAATGGTGTCCTCAGGTGATTACAATTATAGCAGTTTCCATTATATCAAAAAATACTTTCATGCTAACACAATAACCCAACTGAAGATAGGAAAGGTCTGCAGCTGTATATAGCAGCTTAAAAAAAAAAAAAAAAAAGGCTTTTGGGTTTCTGTCGAAAGACTGTCACCTCCACTAGTGTGGACCAACCAGATGGCCGCACCATCTTCATATCTACGCGTTAGAGTGCAAACAGCTAACAGATCATTCTGCTCCATGTGCTTGTTTGTTGGCCTCTTGGTCCATATTTTTCTGGGAGACTTGGGGTTGAAAGTGTGTGCTGAGCCAGCCCAGTGTAAGAGGTGTTGTTTTTCGGAATAAGCCACCCGGGGTCCCCGCGTCACACGGAGCTGACCTCAGGTGGCTGTAGAAGAGGACGCAGCGGCAGCAGGGGAAGCTTGAAGGAACACGTTGGGAGGGTAAACTCTGCAGGACGGTGGGGACAGAGAAGGTTGCTGGGGTCGAAACAGTAAGAAAGTCATAGCTACTCTGCCGCCAGCTCCTTTGGGCGAAAAGCACCAGTACCTGGGCTTTAGCAAAAGCCAGAGAAGCTCAAAGCTGCCGAAGGCTCCGTGACAGAGGACTTTAGAGCAAGCCGGGCTCCGAGTGCCACACAGCGTGGAAGGACGGAGCTGAGGAACAGTGGGCCACGGCGCACAGCTCCCTTGGTGTCTGGTGTCGGCGGCTCACCTCACCTCGCAGAGTTTTCCTGTGGCCCTGTGCAGCTGTACAGTTGCCTGGCTCTGTTCGCAGATGGGGACACTAAGACCCAGTGAGCCGAGTCGTGTGTCAGAGGCCACGCCAGGGAGTGGCAGAAGAGGGGAGTCCCCTGCTCCCCACATGTGCCACTGTTTGGGTTACAGCAACTTTTCACAAGAGCAGCGCTCATTTCTCTGTGAAAGACTCAGTCTCCTGAAAGGCCGGGCCTGGCAGTGTCACACCCGGCTGACCACCGAGCCTCGACAGGTGACCTTGTAAGTTCTGTGTTCACTTCCTTGGGCTACTTTATAACAGTCACCATGAACTGGGGCTTCACACATGCAAGTACTCACGGTTCCGGAGGCCCAAGTCCAAAATCAGCGGGTCAGCAGGAACATCCTCTCTCGGAAGACTACAGAAGAGCCATCCTTGCCTGTTCCCACTGTTCTGCCGCCAGCAGCGTCCCTTGGCTCATCCCTGTTTCCCATCCTCACACGACATTTCCTCCTGTGTCTCTCAGTGGCCACATTCCTCTTTTTATGAGGACACCCATCATGGGTCACCTGACCTCATCTTAACTCGCTGACACCTGCAGAGCCCACTTTCCAAAGCAGGTGCGGGGTTTGGTCCTCAGCGTGCAGCCCTGACACCACGTCCCGATGTGGGGTCCAGCGCCAGGAAGCCGTGCTGTCTGGTGATGCTGCGGCGTGATCTACATACCCTCTGTGGCGTCTGCTCAGCCACACGGTTGCCTCCTGATGCCTGCTTTTGGCTATAGCTCCTGTGTAAAATGATAACATGCACCTGGAGGGCTGCAGTGTGACCCACAGGTTCATTTTCACGTCCTCATTCTGTGGAGTTGTTTTTCGTTTACTCTGTTCCACATTTAAATTGCCGGTGCTTTTGGTTTGGAACTCAAGTGTAACGTTCGTGAGCAGGAATGAGCAAAAGAGGGGTTTTGGTGTTGTATGAATGTGGAATCTGGCACAATTCCCTCCTGAGAGGGCCGAGAAGGAGGAGGAAG